CTGTTCGTGACCTCAAGCTGAAGCGCACTTGGGTTCTGCAGCAGGACAATGATCCAAAACACACCAGCAAGTCCACCTCTGAATGGCTTAAGAAAAACAAAATGAAGACTTTGGAGTGGCCTAGTCAAAGTCCCGACCTGAATCCGATTGAGATGCTGTGGCATGACCTTAAAAAGGCGGTTCATGCTCGAAAACCCTCCAATGTGGCTGAATTACAACAATTCTGCAAAGATGAGTGGGCCAAAATTCCTCTACAGCGCTGTAAAAGACTCATTGGCAGTTATCGCAAACGCTTGATTGCAGTTGTTGCTGCTAAGGGTGGCCCAACCAGTTATTAGGTTTAGGGGGCAATCACTTTTTCACACAACATATATATATATATATACACGCATGTACCTTTTTCACAATATATATATATATATATATATATACACGCACGCTTTGGCTCATGGTCAGACCAAACTTGTAGTTATTATCCTGGCACATTCAAAACATATGCTGTAACCTAAGAAGGATTGTTAGAGCTTATGAAGCGGATCAGTTTCTCTATGAATGTATGTTACATTCGTCACAATGGGCCGCTAAATCAGCACTTAGTGGCACACCAATCCCTATGCATTAAGTTACTGTGCATAACTATGAGCCCAAAGAGTTTGTTTATGTCTGATGTTAAACACCAGATTGTAATGTTTGAAAGGCTCTGGTATTGGATCGAATTGAGTATCAGCAGTTACCTGAGATGAAGTCCTGGAATCAGGAGAGAAAACAATCTGATCTGTCCATCTCTGGTTTATTTGAACGAAGTCACTCATTTGATGCAGTGATTGTCTTTTGGTTGTGTTATCTATTCTCGTCATAATTGCTTTACTTTTTCATTGAGAAAACAAAGTGGAGTTCTCATTTGTTGGATTAGTTCAAATCCAATGGTTTATTGGGAGAAATTTGGGAGAAACCCTCTCCATCGAAGGAAATGCCTCAGTTTATAATGCAGTTGACGCCTTGAACTGGGCACATAATATTGCCCCTGTTCACACCAACAATGGAGCTATAACACAGCGGAGTTATGTTTTTTTTTTTGCAGCTCATGCAAATCAAAGAAGTTTAAAGCTGGTAGATATTTAAAAAGTCCCTGTAGAAAACATTCTTCCCATATGAACTGTGCCAGACTGATTGAATTTCAGCCGTTTCCAATTGTCTCTTCTTTCTCACGGGCAAAACACACAACACACATTCTCACACACACACTGCACGCTTTCTCATTCACTCAGGGTTCACTCAGTCAGGCAAAGCTTTAGCTATGTATTCTGCAGGCTTAGGTTTCATGTTTTTTACATGCCTGCAAGAAATTATGTGCTGTGCATGAATAATAGGTTCTCTGATTAGTGTCATATTAAAACCATGTAATATAATTACCTAGATACCATATATAATAAGAGTGCGGTGCAGCCACTTTGTCATCTCAGTACTGTTTACCACCGAGGTCATGTTTTATTGGCTGAGGTACTTATACTTGCATACTGACAAGTTTTGTTAGACTGGCTAATAACCTTTTGTCCTGTGTCATCTCCTGTCTGACTCTATGACTCACATCCTTCTGCTCTGTCTCCAAGCAAAGTAATACGAGCAGAAACAGTTTCTCTTTTTAACTAATTGATTTCTGTGTTTATCACTACAGGCTGTGGGTGGGTTGGCACAACACGGACAAGTTTCTGAAGACTGGTTTGTAGGCCGCGTACGCAAACGTCGCCACGATGAGTAAGTCCTCTAAATTCTGATGTTAGCCAGACATTCAGTGCATGGCTTCCTCACAGCATGAGATAAAAACAGACACACACACACACACTCGCAACAAACACCATCCCTGAGGCCAAGCTCTGTGCGAGCTGCTTCTCCAGACGCTGTCGAATGAAGGATTGGTTTTCGGCGTTATGTAGATGGGGGTCTGGTTCTCTCCGCTGCTCGGGGCTGTGTGATGTCTGTCCAAGCTACACAAGGAGAATATTTTCTCTTCGCGAGCTAGTCCAGCCAAGGCAGAGCTTGCCCTGAGATCAAACATGGGAATAGGCATATCAAAAACACTGCAGTCCTTGCCTGCCTCTAATACCCTGCCACAGGATAGTCTCAATATGGATGTAGTTAAAAATTCCTGATTAATATTCTGCACACACCTTTTAGTGCAGAACAAAGTGCAAAGGGCTCAATTTGCTCTTTTTTTCTGTCATACACACGCACACCAAGGGCATTCATTATGAAATCCGCACTCTTAATTGTGTATTTTTCCCAACCCACTATACGTTTCAGATGAGAGGCAGGCTCTCCACTCTATCATGAAAGACCTGGTCGCCCTCCAGATGACTCGCCGCCAGCCTGTGTTGTCGTATGACAGCAGCAAACCCAAGACGCCGGCCCAGGCCAACAGACAGGTGCGGTATAGCTGTACATCTTAACATCTTAGAAGATGGTTTAGAAGCTTTAGGCTTGTACAAAGTCGTCCTCACAAACCAGGATTTACACCCAGAAATAGTGGAAATGTTATTTGTTAGTCGGAATTCGGAGTTACAATCCAATAGCCTTATATCTCACTGTGAGCTGTAGCTCGAACATCTTGGTCCCATGCATGAATCCTCACTATCCATTTGCACACAGTTGCATCACTGTGGGGAAAAACTAAACACTAAAGCTGATATTTGCTCCAAAATTAAGCAGTTAACAGTATTTACTGTTCAGCATGTATTACCCTAAATTTAGAAGTCAGGAGGGCCTTGGATTCGAACAAAATAGTGTTTTTCTTCAATCGACCATACAATTCTAATTTTGGACCACCGCTGTAATAAAAAAAAACCTGTAATTGGATCTCACCCATGCAAGTATATTCTTGTTTCTTAGTATTTCACCTCGGCCACCCAGTTAGCTAATTTAGCATAATGAGAGACATATTACCAAGATAGCCTCCCACAAATGTATGAAATCCAGTTATTTTCAACTTCTTCTCCATAAATACATTCTGCCTGTGTGACCAGTCGCCCACCCACCCTCGCTTTGTACCGCAGCGGCCTGCAGCCACAGAGAATAGCCAAAGCAGACAACTCGTGTGCAATGTAGTGTTTGCTTAAAACCACAGATTGTCCCCCTGGGAAGGACAGTCTCCACCATTTGCCCATGCTCAATAACTTAAGTTGTGGAAGTGGGTTTTTTCACAAATGATATAGCAATTGAGGAAGTACAGAATGGCATGTTTTACCAGCGAACAATCTTTGTGTAAGGCCAATAAGTGAAGGCAGTGCATGTGCAAGTCTTTTTCATCTTTACGTATAACTTTAGTTATCAGCACAGCCTTTCTAACTGCACTTTGATAACCTCCTTCTGTCGGCTTTGACCTTCCTGTTTCTGTTTGCTCTCAGGACGATGTCAGGATAAAGTTTGAGTTCTCAGGAGAGCGGAGGTGAGTTTTCTTTTTGGCCTTTTTTTTTTTCATGCATGTTGCGTCTGTGTAGGCAATTTACATGCATACATGTATACATCTCTCTACACAAGTGAGAGAGAGAGAGCACTCACACAGAGACGTAAACACATTCACTCAGGCATGCTGTTCTTGTCACATGTTTCAGTTCAAGAGAAAGAGCACATCTCAGACTCCACCGCAGCATTTATTTCAGAGACTGGTATGTGAGCTGGAGAACAGAGGAGGAAAAGATGGTGGTTAGCCTGTGGCTGCCAGCGCACACCACAAATATGCAAAGGTGTACTTAGAGGAATCTGCACGCACTACAAACAGCCGCTTGTGTGTGTTTTGCTTGCACATGTGAATGAGAGTCAAACGCAGTTTCCCTCAGCAGCCGGTACAGATCTTTTCATAATCTGTCTGTCTCTGGGTGATTTCTTTGCTTTCTTTACGTGTAGGATTCTGGTGTTTGGACGGCCTGTGCAGTTCGAGGAAGTCCAGCAGAAAGTCACGACTGTCTTTGGCCAGCAGCTAGACCTGCATTATATGAACAATGAGGTGAGTGATGCATCGATCATCAACAGAAGTTGCTGATTCACGTTTTATCAGCCGTCTAATGGACAAATTGGGCTTTGCATGCTTGTGAATCTTGATATGTGTTTGTTCGTATATATATATTATTGATTTTTCTATCTTCGTAGTTGTCCATCCCTCTGCGAGATCAGGATGACCTGGACACGGCGATCGACCTGCTGGACCGAAGCTCCAACATGAAGAGCATCAGGATCCTGCTGCTCACTCAGGAGCACAGCAATGTGAGACGCACACGGACACGAACATATTGGGCGTGCGTTCGCAGCGTACCATTGCACAACTGCCATTTCTTCACCGTACAGCAGTGTTGTGCAAAATCAAAGTTCCTCATAACATTTACATTACACTAGCTGGGTTGCTGACATGAAGCGGTTGTTTAAGTGTGCGGGTAAAGCTTTCTTTTAACCTTGTCTTCCCTTCCTTGTTCCAACTGCAGGCCTCCTCCCCCTCCCACCACATTCCATGTAAGCAGGTGAGGATTAAGTCCTCCCAATCCACTGGAGACGTTAGCACGGCGTACCAATCCTCCGAGTCCAGGGGGCGCCACCTGTCTACTGGTACATATCTTCAACTGTCATTCAAACTTCTCTATAGTCTTATCCGTAACAAAATGGTTCACACACTGATTCAAAGGAGGACATTTAGACTTTGTATTTTTCTCAGAAGCTTAATGTTTTGTTAATATTCTGTCACGGGTAGCTGTCACGTCGTCGTGCTGTCGCCACTTCTTTTTTACTACCTTGATTTCCCCGTCTGTCGAGTTCTCTCTCGCTCTCTCTCTGTGGCTGATCTTTCTTTGGCTTCCCCTTTTAGCAATGGCTCCACTTCCTTTTCCTGTTCACCATCACTAGACGATGCCTGCTGGACAGCAGCCAATCAGATTACAGAATGCTATTAGTGTGGCGGACCAGTGGCCTGGTTTAGGATGAAGTGGCTGCAGGAGGGCTATGAATGTTAAAGCCCGCTCTCTGCCGTTGATTCTCTAAGTTATTATGGAAGCATTCAGCACTTTGATTTGTTTTTTCTTCTTTCTTTGTGCGTGTCGTTACCTAATATTGTTATTTATTTTGACAGTCATGACAACAGTGTCACAAAGGTTACTTCACTGATGTGAGTTGTAAACATGTGTGGTGGTCTCAACTAATGCATGTTTGATTTTGTGCTGCCTATGCTCAATGGGAAATAAACAATAAATGTCAATATAGATGAACAGGGCCATTTTAAAGAGAAATATGGAAAGAATTTTTTCCAACAATATTATCATCACAACTGATGTCCTCAGGCCTGTTTTTTTTATTGTTATTCCTCACATGTCTGATGTTTCTTTTATGCTCATAACTTCTGTCTAATCCCAGGTTCTCAGAACACGGGGCGTAGCTCGCCGCCTCCTGGTTACGTGCCCGAACGCCAGCAGAGGATCGCCCGCCAAGGTTCATACACCAGCATAAACAGTGAGGGGGAGTTCATCCCTGAGACCAGCGATCAGTGTGTGAGTCATTGCTTCACTAGTAATGGGGAAAATCCACCTTAAAGTACAAAAATCGTATGATGTGTTTGTTTATGACTATTGAGATTTGATCACATAAATAAACTAGTTCTTGAAGTTTCAATCAAGACCTTTTCTGATCTCTGAATTGTTTTGCTCATTAATGGAAGTCTTTGTGACGTTATTAAAGTATCTTTTAGGAACGGTAAGTGCTAAGAAATAAAAGCTTTAACATCAGTAAATTCTGAGAGTTGTCCAACTACACATTGCCAGCGTAGCCGTTCTTTAAAAAAGGAAAGAAATGGGCTCATGCTCCCAAAGTTTTCAAACATAAATTCTGTTTTTGGATGGATTTTTCTTTCTGAAATGTGTGTACACAAAGAAGACGTGCATACACGTTTATTTTCCATTTTCCCCTGACAGGTGCTGGATCCCTGGAGCAGTGCAGAAAACTCAGTCTCTGGAAGCTGCCAGTCTCTGGACAGCAACTCAGACAGGTGAGGAGTAAAGTCTGCCCGACAGAAACTCACTGTTAGATTATATTTCTGTTGCATTTCCATGATTGGTGTTTGCTAAATAACAAAAAAAAAAACAACTGCAACCTGTTTTATGTAAACACCTACATGAAGTATCTCAACATCTCTCACTCTTATTCCTTCCTTCTCTTTCAACAGCCCTTCACTGAGGAAGTCTCGCATGCACAGAGCCAAGAGTTACCCTGATAATCGCCAGGAGTGCTCAGGTGAGAGCAGTTACAAGAACAGCTCCTTCTAACAACCTCATCCATGTCCCACATCTTACGGGCTAAAGCATTGTGACAGCCTCTTATAAGCTTCCTTTAAACCATCATGGACGCCGTGGTGGAATGTTTCTATAGACTGGCTGCAAGTTGTGAGAGATGCATTAAAGTTTGGGTTTACAACAAACTAAACAATGCATATCAACCAAACACATCAAATACTAGTCTGTTTGAATTACAGAGTAATCCTGCTGACCTTTGACCTTTGGATATTTCAGACAGGGAAAACCATGTGTATGACAGGGTAGCAGGGAAAGGAGGCACCTTCCCTCGTAGGTACCATGTCTCCCTGCATCATAAGGACCACAGTGAAGGTAAGACGATCTGTATCTTACCAACTATGTGAGTTATTTCTCATAATCTCACTTCTTCTATTTCCTTCCTTAATCTCTCCTGTTCATCATGTGACATTTAACCTTAGCCCACCTTTTTCCTACCCCCCCCCCCCCCCCCCCCCCCCCCCCCCCCCCCCCCCCC